TCAATACCAAAATGATAAATGCTGCTCTGCCCAGCGAATGAAATCATCGATTAAACAAGAACTAGGGAGTAGGGACTACACTAGGGATGGATGGATGAGTATCAAAAGATAAATTAGTTAATGGAGGAGGGTCACGTGCCACCCACTTTTCGCTCCAGTGCAGCCTTGACATTATGACAGGGCCATGACGATACAAAGTGCAATCTCTGGGGTGAAATCTAATTGACAAAAACAGAATGAACTGACGAAATCACATGAAATTCCATTTGGGAACACACTCGAGTCTCTATCTCTGTCGCGTGAGTCAACAAGGTTACGCGAGAGTGGTGGCCGGAGCGGGAGAGCAGCTACCAGGATGCGAATGACTTTTGGGCAGCTGCTGCTGCTTTCTGCTCTCTCCTCTGACTCAATTCCCAACATTTTCGGATCTGCTTTTCCGCTCTCTCTCTCTCTCTCTGGGGCACACATTCATGGCTCGTTCCTATTGTTAATGATTTTTGTCTGCGACGCAATTGGCGAAAACGGAAGACGAATTTTCGTTGTTACAATTTTCACATATTCATTCTGTATTTTCCTCTTGCATTTGTTTTTCGCGCTCTTCCTCTTCTTCTGCAGCAGCGCCAAAGCACATCAAAGTCAAGTGTCAAAGGCGTACGTATGTATGCACATATATGTATGTGTGTGTATATTTTGGCTGCGCAAACTTTTCCACGCCATACAGACATAATGGGGGGTCTGGTCTGCGTTCACATGTATTGGGGCAGCAGGCAGGCAGCAGAGCAGCCCCCAGGTTTCTCCATTTCATACCACGAAACACGATTTGGGTAGGGGGACGAGCGACGAACGAAGACGACGACGACGAGGCCTCTCAAAGTGTGTGTACTTTGCGTTTTTTTTTCATTTTTTTCGATGCGTTTTCTTACCTTTTAAAATCTCTCATAAGACGTCTGCGTGCGGGTGTTGACATGTTTTACAACGATACTAACACTTTGTGTGTATTGTGAATTGTAATCCTAAGCAAATATGCGCCTTTTTTATAAACAGAAACAGTGAAATTTTGGAATTTAATTGAGGACACGAGTGTGACCGCAGATTTGTTCAAAAATATACCGCCCGACCCTCAAAAAATACCAGAAAATATACTTTCTCAGTTTAAAAATATACCGCTGCTATACCGAAACGTAAATCATTTTCCTCTATTTCGATGTTCTATTAAACATTACAAGCTATTTAGGCCTCTCAGCACTAAGACCATAGTTTCTGCTGTTGGCAGAAAGCAATATTTGCTAGTAATATTAAAAAGAAAATGAAACATCGGGCAATTAGATATCCAATCATGCGGCTAAGGGTTTTCCGTCGACATTGTTTAGGTCACACACTTTGCATTTTTTTTTAGTATATTCTTGTTTTTCAGTACTTTTTAAAAAACTTCTTGAAACTTCTTAGAAGTCGAATTTCTTAGTCTTTCTAATCAATCCAGATTAATGGAAACATATATTTAAAACTATAAGCATATCCCTATGGGGTTGGAAAATGTTCCTTTCGCACCTTTAATACTTCGACAACAAAACAATTTTATACCTAAGTCTGTCAATGATTAAAATTATAGTACACTTTTCGCAATATTTCGAATAATGAACTTTACGAATTCTACAGAGAACAAGGACCACAAAGCCGGTAATTGGAAACACCTACAGAAGATGCTGAACGAAGAACGCGATATTGATCAGCGGCTGGAGGATCATCTAAGTAAGATGTAGGACTTATTCTAAGACTAAAACCTGATAATAATTCTAATCCATAGTTTGGCTTTTGCAGAACCTAATAATCGTAATTAAATTAAATACATGTATGGGCCTTGTGTTTCTGTTGAATTTCGTTTAATTTATTGAATATTTTAATATTTTAGGACTAATTAAAACAAATAAAGTGTATCACAAGCTTAATTCTAAATCTCGACAGCTGCATCCAATCCTAGCATGATGTGGTGTTCGTCTTAGACGGGGAAGAGCTCGTTGTAAGTGAAATTCTCGAGGATTTTGGTGGTGATGGCCAGGAAATTGGTCTCCAGAGCACGCGCAATGGGAGCAATTATCTCGTTGGTGAAGACCTCAAAGTTCTGGTTGATCGTATCGTTGATGACATCGCCCAGCACCTTGTCGCCGTTGAAGAGGTTCTCCAGCTTCAGGTTTCCCTTTCCGGTGCGAATCTTCAGGGCGAACTCCTTCACGTGCAGGTAGTCCAAGTCATTCGATTTCTTGATGTCGTACTGGACGCGCACATAGGCCAAAAAGTTGGTGAAGTTGCCGGTGAAGGGTCCGTTGCCCTTGATGGGCAGCGCCAGAATGTTGCCGTTAATTTCGTACATGCCCTCGCCCTGCAGGTGCGGAAGGATCAGCTCAAAGTCGAAGCGCCTGTTCTGGGTGGAGGCGCGCAGCTTGGTGATCTCAAAGTTGGAGGCTCCCAGGATGTTCAGCTTCTTGGCCCTCACTGTGATGCCAGCGGATCCGTCGAGAATGCTCAGCTCGCCAATGTAGAGGGGCTCTAGCGGTGGCACATTCAGCTCCTTGATGCCCTTGGCCAGATACGGGCGCAGATTGTGGACGCTGCTCTTCAGGCACTTCGACAGCTCGGGATCGTTGCGATGGCACACCTGAATGTACTCAGCTACAGATAGAGGGAGAGCTATTGTGAGCATGGGATACATGGCATGGAATCAGTCCTCCACTTACGCATACTGCCAGCCAGGGAGACTCCCAGGAAGCACATCATCAGAGAGGCTACAATGAGTGTGGACTGCATTTTGATTGATTGTGTAGTTTCCTGTGGGAAGATATCAAAGAGGTATTGTATTATAATAATGGTTACTATCAAACTATTGTTTGATTCCCCATGCCCGAACATCCCACCATTAGCGGGCCCATTGACGTCACAGTCTGTGTTCCATAATGAATATCTATTCAAAAATCATTAACCTCTTGCCCGGCCCACTCAGCCCCCTTTAAACCGCTCCTCCTCCCACTGCCATTATCATCTCAAGTCCCAGTCCCGATTATAGGCATTATGGTCACTGCGTCGTATTCAAATAAGTATCTATAGACCGAACCGATCCGCAATGATTACTATCATCAGATGTCTGTTTTGTTCACTGCAATTTAACTGTTTCTCATCGGGGGCTTTGCACTATATGATTATCAATATTTTACGGTTTTTATGAATGGCCACTGATTGGCGGGGGGTTGCCAGCAAGAGCGAACTTTGGTTCAACTTTTACCAGAGTGACAGGGAGAGAGCTTTTGCATGGAGAATGGTTTGAGGGAGGTTAAAGATCTCCTGGGAGCTTTAAGAAAAAATGTTGTGGATTTTCAAAGGATTGGTCCCCTGGCAACAGGGAAAACCCATTCAGATACGAGAAAGAATGTAATCGCTCCCCATGGGATCTGCTGCTGAATGAATATTCCTTTAGTATGAAAGTTTTCACTGGTTCACGTCCGTATTGTTCTCCTGGGAGTTCTCAAGGATGTGTGTTCAAAATATTTCCAGGCTTGGAACTTACACTTGGAAATGATTTAGTTTTTTAATTGATTTTTGGTGTGGGTTCTGGCACTTTATTTGATTAACTTCTTGATGTGGGAAGGCCGCTCAACGTTCTCGCTGCTGCTTGAGGTTTGTTCTGTGTGTTTGTTTCAGAGTCTCGGATTCGAGTGTTGCTTTAGTAACCGTCTACAGATCGTACTGAATGCAAAATTGTTGAGACCGGCACGTTTTATAGCAAAAATTTCGCTACGATTTACATGAGAGCTCGGGCAAGTTGTGTGTTGTGGAGCTGGCCAGAACAGCAGCACGACGTAGAACTCAGAAATACCCCGGCCCCGGTCCCTGCTCCAAGCATTGCTGGCAAAACGTTTAGACAACTAGTGGGAGAGAGAGAGAGCGATAAAGAAAGACGCTAAACAGCTACTGTTTAATACTAATAATAATGTTTATACTGATTGCATCCACACAAATGTATCTGCCAGCTAGGGGGAAAATTGCCAGTTTGCGGCTCGGAAAATGCAGACAGGGAGCCAGCAGGAAGCTGTGGGCTGTTTCCCACCTCAGCAGGCTTGCCACCCAAAAAACTCAGTCGGGGATCAGGGAGCGGTTCAACACTGTCTGGGGGCCTGAAGCGAAAGGGCAGGAAGGTCGCTGTCGTGCCAATCGCAATTACGTGTCGAGAACACATCTTCCCTGTGTGCTCTGTTCTGTGGAGACGGTTTTGATCGCATCGCATCGGTTCTAGTGTAGTGTTGTGTAGTGCAGCTGAGGTCGTGTGTTGGTTGACAGTCTGTTCACTCTGGATATTATGTAATGTCCCTGATGTGACGAGGAGCTCAGCTTTCGCGCTGGGCACTCGCTTGGCTTGGGCTGCCGCCTCTGACATGGTTCGGTGCTGCGACTGATTGTCCCATGGGGCAAATTGTTGAACTGCACGCAATTCGGGGGTCAACCCAAAGATCAGTTTGGCCAGGCTTCCGTTTAGCGGCTACTACTACGTGTTAGATAACATGGAACGCCTTCGATTGCTGTTCATTCATCGTTTATTATTCAATCGGATGTGATAATCCTCCCGCAGGGAAGCTCCCTTTGGTCAGGCAGCTTTGGATTGGTTGTGCTTGTGGAGGCACAAAGTTCAGCTCATAGGAGCATAGAGGAATGGATTCTTTCTTCAATACTTGGGGCTTGCATCCAGTTGTTTACAAACATTTTGCCATTCATTGAGACGGAGACAGAGGCGTTGGATGGCCTTGAATTAACATGCCAAACCTGAACGAGAGTGGGTAACTTTTCTAACATTTCAAACTAATGATAACCTCGATCCCGGTTGCCTAATGCCCTCTCTGATGAGCTGTGGAACCTCTGATAATATGGCAACCAGCAACCAGTTAGTTTTTGGTAACACAGGAGGTATGATCTCCCTCTTCAGCCCCTCATCACTGGGCTTTTAGTTGTAGCTTTTGTTTTGTTTATTTAGCTTGAAATCTGTGCAATAAATTAGGACTTAGAAGTAGAACAGTGTCTGGGGGGAGTACTAGTTAAGGTTGATCCATTCATCCAGGGGGATCTTGGCGAATATGCGATCCATAAAGTTCCTGATGACCAGAGTGAGCTTCGTCCGCAGCGCCGGCTTCATTTCCTTGAGCAGCTCCTGAGAGTTCGAGTTGATGAACAGATTGAGAGCAGCCTCTGTAAGTGGGGGTTTGGATGATGTATGATTCACAGCGACTAAGTGTAGAACTAATCTTACGTATGACCGAATTGCCATTGGCAATGTTGTCCACACCCATCTGTATATCCTTCACATTGAAGTCCATCTTCACGGAATCGGTGGTCAGGTAGGTGCGTCCGTCGGCTCCCTCGTTGGCCACCGCCTTGAAGTAGATCTTGGCCTTGACGCCCTCTGGCAAGTAAGCGAATTGTTAGCACCCAGAAGCACCCATAGTTTGCATCAACTATCTGATGAAGTTACTTACCATACTCGCCCCAGTAGTCGCCGGCACCGGAGGCCTTCACCAAGATCAGAACACCTGTGGATCGGTACTGAGCCTTGACGCGAATACGGGGTATCTCGCACGTCAGTTGGAACTGCAGCGAGTCCAAGTCGGAGCTGTACAGATATAGAAATGTTTATACTGCTATATGAATATAAATATCTAATGGCAATGACAGTGACAATCTGCGTAATGACTCTTAAAGCTCCTTACAAAACAGCCATTTCATCGGTGAACGATGAGCGGCAGATTATTGCCACAACCTTGACTGCTGCTGGATGGTAAAACCGAAAACCGAAACACGAAACGAAACTCTCTTAACACGCCCCAACACCAAAGAGAACCCCAAGTGACCTTCGCTGGACAAATCAATACCGAAACCGGCCCCAAACATTGCACTCCACATGGCACATGTTGGCACACATTTTCATGCCTCGTTTCTTGGTCAACGATCTGTCGTTGTCACTTTTTGGCCAATTGAGTGGCAAGTGTCGATGGCCAAACGGTAGTCCGTGAGTCGTTGTTTCTGTTGTTCTCTTGTTCCAAATACCGGAAAGTTGAGCCAAAAGTGCTCTTGGCTTTGGGGAGGGGCGTTGCATAATCCAAGAGCCCCACATAAACGGAGGCCAATCAGGAGAGTGGGTCAGCCTTTCATTTGAAAGAGGATTAGTTTCAGTTGAAGACGAAATAGAGGCTGAGCAAGGGGAGAACATGATGCATACGAATGAAATGTTTCCCCTGCTTTCCCAAGAATCTTTTGTTAACCGCGAAACGCGTCGTCAAGTCTCCCATTAAATGATAATCAGGTAATGGTTTTTTCGTTCGACTAATTGGTTATAGCCCAACACACAGCCTCAAACAAATTTCCAGCGAACACAGTCGAGAATGTCTCTGGCTGATTCCAGCTAAGACATGGCTTACATTTCCCTGGAGCTGCTCGCCTACACACACCCCCCAAACCAGAATGGGCACGAGCCGATATCGGAGGGCAATTACGTGATTGAAAACGAGTTCATTTAAATGTACCTACTTACAGGGCAATGGAAAACCCGTGCGCATGCAAATCGATCGGGGCAAACATAAAACCTTTGAGTTAGAGTTGAAGAACCACTCAGATGTAAATCAATTGCGGCTCGATCGATACGAGTGCGAATGCGAATGCGAATGCGAGTGCTAATCGCTTCGTGTGGGTATAAATTAAGATCTTGAGTGCCCATAACTGGCGTCACATACATAATACTATCGGAAACTGCGCTCATTCAAATGAGCTCCCCACAACACAATGTTGACAACGTGAGCGATGATCTTGGCGAAGATCGCGTGCTCAGAGGCATTGATCGAATGCGTGGGTGAACGATTGACTCACTGACCGATTGACTTGGATGCTGGACAAATGGGTTGATACTAGAGTTGGGCCATGATCCATAGAATCTACTTTGATTTTAACCTTAGCCGAAGTTCTATTAAGCCACACAGAGCTGAACGCATTGACTCATTGCCTTGGAGTTTAAGTAGAACAAATAAGAACAGAGAAGTTGGAATGCTCTTTTATCTAACTTCTATGACACAATGACTGATGATGTACAACGACACTTTAAGTGTCGGTGAAGTATGCGGGTTCGCAGCTAAGCTTGACCCTCTCCACAATGGGGTCTAAGGTACAGTGTAGCTGCTCTTGAGTGCCACCGAACTTACCGGATATTTGTGACAGTTATGTTGCTCACGCCGTAGGCCTGGATGTTGCGGAAGAGAGCGCGATAGCCATCCGGGCCGCTGCCCAGAACAATGCCAATCTCATCGATCATCACGGGCTCAATCTGGAATGGATATGCTCATAGATTAGAGATTACAATGGAGTATGACAACCACTCACCTCGTAGATGTCCAGCTCGGGCACTCCCTTCTGCAGATAGTGGACCAGCTTGTTGCCACTGTCCCGCAGACAGTCGTTGATCTGAGCCTCATCCCGCGGACACTGCTGCAGATAGTAGGCTGAAAGTGATCGGTAATGGGTGAGAATGCTGCAACTTTTGCCTGTTCACAGATCACATTGTTTCGTCGAAATCTGTGCACAATGGAGCAGTCGCTGAGGATTCGCTCTCGAGCTTTCGTCCCATTAGCTGCGCTTCCCCGTTGCACGGGGCATGCGTGAGTTGTCGTTGGGTTCAAGTTCGCCATTATCTCGGGGGATCTCTCACAGCCACAGCGGATAATCGCTGTGAACATGTTCAGACTGCACTGAGAAATGAGGCTGGTGACAGGTTTATTGCCGGGTTAAGAAAGGTGTGCTCCCAGCGACACAATTGAGGATGTACTCGAATGTAGAAGGCAGACATGATAAATGGAAGTCATACTCGGAAATTGCGGCAGGGTCTAGGCTTTGCCGGAAGATGCAGAACCCTGTATTCTGTGTGTCTCTCTTTTAATAGACTTGAACTTTGCTTCCAGAAATTTGCTTTATATCTCAGCCAGATCCAGACACGTTCCATCCCAAAAAACATTTATAGGCCTCAAAGTTCTCAAAATAGCGAAATGGCACAAGTAATTCCGCTCGATTTTTGATCGCAGTTATGGGGTACCCGGTAAAGTACCGAAAGAGAACCAGAAGTCAGAGATCAGACATCAGAGATAGTTCTGGTACTGCCATCAAATGCTATTCCGGGAACTTCATTGCCATTCGCCGTAGAGACGGGTATTAGCCAACTTTCGTTGTTGCTAGGGCACGTCTGGGGGTGGCTAATTAAAGCCCAATCCATGGGCCACTTAAGCCAATTTTGGGGCCGCGAACGTGTCTAAGGAGGTCTTTGAAAAGAAAGCTCTTCAGCACAATCGTTACGGCTGATATCAATTAATCATAGTTGCAGTTGGTTATGGTTATGAGCGAGTACTTACGTTGCTCTTGGGCCCAAATGGCGCCCACGATGGACGCGAGCAAAATGAATCCAAGTTTGCGGCACATTTTTGTATGGTTCGTCTGAATGAAAGTACAAGTAACAGAGGCAATTATTGATAGTGTTTCCCTTTTCTTTTTCTTTTTCGCTAGTTTCGTAATTGATTAGCACGTTTTTTGCTGCCACAGTCCACTGTCTCTAATGTCTCATCGGAAATGTGTGGATTTATATGCTAATTTTTGGTCAAATGACGTCGTTGGCTGCTGGTCTGCTGGTCTGCTGGTCTGCTGGCTGCTTGGTCTACGACTTGGTCCCGGTTTACGAGCGAAAGCGAAAACAGTTGGTAAAGAATTTTGAACACACACTCGCACTCGGCTCATCTGTGGGTTTCACTTTGACGGAAATTCTTTCGGGCTCGCAAAGTGGGTCACCGAAGACACAGTCCAAGTGCCAGTGCCAGTCCCTGACCCAGGCCCAAACTCAAAGCCAGCCACAACCAGTCCACACCAGTCCGTCGTTGTTTGTTCTTGAATAAAGAATCGAATTGTTGTCCGCTGCTTTCTTCGGCGTGACTTGCCCTGCGCTTACTTTGCGTCCAACTTTCACGCGACTCGGTCGAGGAATGAATGAGCTCGCAGTGCGTTGGTCCAAGCCATTTTAACCAACAAGAAGTCGGCTCGAAAGCGTCGACGAAATGCAGCGAAAGAGTCAAAGAAAGAGAGACGAACAAAAGGAGAGGCCTCCTACTCTGCCACTGCCACTGCCTCTGACTCTGACTCTGACACACCCCAGCAGGCAGGCAGGCGTAGACAGGTCGTCGTCGTTTGGGTGCCTTGAAGTTGAAGGTTAACCCTGCCCCAAAGGGACTCTGACTTGGGTGCCGCACTGTAACATCACACCATCTAAAACTGCAGTCTGGTAATGAGTCTGACATGCATGATGAATCCATCATTAGCGATTCCACACGCTGGGATTAGCATCCACCTCATTTTACTTCCCAGCTTGTTTTTTTTTGTTTGCAGCCTTTGCTCTAAAGAGTGTCAAGAGATGGCGATGGCCAAGCGGCAGACACCTCATTATCTCACCCATCTATCCAGCCATTCATTGAACCCTTTCCTTTATAAATCAGTAATGTTTATTGGGCCCACCATCCATTCATCCATCCATCCATCCATTCCTCCCATTGACAGCGAGTGACAAGCCCTCCAAAAGAAATGCACATGCCTCGGAGAACTTTGTCACTGAACTTTGTTCGCTGTCGAGAATAATTCCGACTGTTTATGATTGTGCGTTTTGCATTTAAATTTCATTTACATCTAGAGATGGCAAAGGGGTCGTGTTGAATGGAACTAAGATCACGAGTGTCCATTCGGACAGTCCATATTTCCCAGCAACTCACTTTCGTGCACGACTTGTAAGCAGAGCATGGCTCAATATTGTGCACCGCCACTGTAGCTGCAACGCCTGAAAGTATGCCAAGGAAACGCTACAAAGGCTGAAGAGTGGAAGTGAATGAGAGTGTGTGGGGTGTGGGGCAGGCATTAGGGCATTAGGGCATTTGCATTTGTGCTTGCTAAATTAATCACTTCTGAAGGAATTAAGATGCCCTTAAAAAAGCACGTGGGAATGGTGTACAATATTACTACAACTTGGAACTTGAATTTTGTTGTATTTGTGAAATTTGCAATGAGGAAATGCTGCCATGTTCAATGTTCTTTTCAATTCAATTAAACTAAAATCATTTGAAATTTCTTTTGTGTACAAAAAACAATGGCAGCGACCGATAAGATACGTTCGAGGGAACCCAACTGTTGCTTATTTATCCTCAAATAACTAAAAAGAAAGACCAAACAAAAGGATCACATAATGCATTAGTTTTCCTTTATTCAACCTGAAAGAACGTGAAGACTTTTATCATCTTATTTCAACGAAGGCACCCACTGTGCGGCTCTTGTGGCACTGCCACTGCTCCTGCTCTGACTGGTCTCAAGGTCAAGGTGGCTCGGTTATTGGGTCAACCACCGACTGTGAATGCAATTGTGGATCTGTGGCTCAATTCCTTGCTGACCAACTGCTTTGTGTGGCGAAAACCATACACTTCTGGGTCATCTTCCTTCCTGTTTAATGGCCGAAACTTGATAATTGATTGCTAATTAAATGGGGGAAAAGCAGGAAGCTTAAATATATGGAATTATACCGCAGCTTGAAAGTGGAATTAAATGCAAATGTGGAGACGCTTCGACATGTTATAGAACTTGTTTCTTGGAAGTTCAACTCTTTCTGCTCTTTAGGCACGATTAACAACAAAATTATGGCTATTTTGTCAGTCGCGTTCTCCACTTGCGCAGAAAAAACATTTGTCTAGTCACTTTGCTAATTAGCTAGAGAGTCTCACTAAAAAATGATGGGTTCGTGAGCAGGCAAACAGCGGCAATTGCCACCTTCTGGGAACACGTGGGGGATGCGAACCTATGTACCCATAGAAGATACTTAGTGGCATAACAATGATGCGAATGAAACAATACGATTTGAGTAATGTTTTCCTTCCTCGCATTTATCCATTCCATGCCGCTCGCACTGCCACTTCCCAGCCAATTCTCTTTATTCTCGGAGGCCTTTGTACAGCCACAGCCACAGATACAGCCACAGATACAGATACAGATACACATGGAGATATATTTATAACTTACTCGCATTGTGCGCTGCTGTCAACAAGCTTTAGAATCGGCGAAGAGGCCTTTTGTATGGCAAATAAGTATTTGGCCCTCGTTCCACGCTCCCAGATACGAGTCAGTACTGTGCTGTACTACTTCCCCATAGCTCTGTTTGTTTGCTCTCAGGGCCATTGTAAACAGTTTAAGAGTTCAGCTTCATTCGCCTAGCTTCGCTCCAGTCGAAAGTCTCGAGGCTGTAGTGCAAAGTTTTGGGGGCAGAGTATTTACGCTTTCTGCGGCTCTTCTGTGGGGGATAGCCAGCTTCCCTTCCCTTCCCTTCCCTTTCCACATAGAAGAGCGTGACTTCCGTTGTATGAATTCCGCAGTATTGGCACATTGTTATACGGGTTTAGTCACTCCCTGACAACTATTAATTAAATGCTTCTCGGGCGACTGGTCTGGCTGGCAACTAGAACTAAACGGATAAGATCTATGCTGGAAACCAGTCCAACCTCCGCGATTATTCAGGCGATGCACTGCGTGAGGAAAGCACGGATTGCGCTGTGCAGCAAGTAAAAGTGCCCGATTAACTAGTTATAATGAAGTGGCAATAAGCAAACATGTAAATATTGTAGTAAATAGTAAGTGCTTAGGGGTGAGCAGTAGTCAATGTTACTAACATTAAACTTAATGTTAATGAATTGTTTTTCCAACTTAAAGTGCCAATAACTTGTATTGTCTAGCAAAAGTATTTTTACGACCATTCCATACATGAAATAAAGTCTTAAACGAGTACTTAAGAGTATTTCATAGTCAGCAGACACAGACACGGACACATAATATTTTAATTAGATTTGAGTTACCAGAATACGCATAACTTTTAGCACTCTCTAACCCACCATTCTGAGCCCAATTCTTTGTAGCATCCCAGGGTTTTTATTGGTTCCAATGTTTGGTTTCTCAAGAGATATTTCTTCTGGTAATGCAAGTGATTATTTCTCTAAATAATGGCCACAATTATTGACTGCCTTCGGGGTTATTTTGCGGTCAACTGGAGGAAGGTCGCAGAAGCAGGTGTCAAGTTCATCGGGTAATGCAGTCACATTCCCTCTAGCTATAGGTTCTTACTGCATCCGAAATTGACAAATAAAATCGGCAGTCCATTGCGTAAGTGGAATTGCTTAATTAGTTTTTATGGCACTCGCCAAAGTGGGCAAACAAAAAATGTGCAAGAAGCCAAAGAAGTCAGACAGAAGGAGAGACGAACACCGAAGAGCAGTTAAAGAGTCGGTCAGTCAGTCAGCTAGTCAGTTGGCCAATTGCTGCTCAGCTCCAGCTCAGATCTGCTCGGCAATATTGAAGTTCTCTGCCGGCGTCGACTTAAACAGCGGGACTTGGCTTGAGCTCTGCCTTAACTTGTCCGGGCTCTGCATTATGTACTACGAGTATGTGCGAGTGGTGCACCACTCCACCACTCCACCCTCCCCAGTCTCCACTTCCCGCTCCACCACTGGAGGGGCCTTTAAAATCCGCGATCGACTGGCGGCTGTCTCGCAGTTCACGTTCTCAGCTTCGCGGTGACAGACGTTCGACCACGACTACGACCCATCATATAAAGATTTAAATAAATTATAATTCCCATTCCGTGTCGCGTGTCGCGTGTTGCTCGTTGTTGTCTTTTGTCCAACTATAATTGATAAACTCAAGTGATCAAGTGATACTTTTATTCGCAGCCGAGATGTTGAAGTACGTGTGCCTGGTGATAGTGCTGCAGACGCTCTGGATGGTTCAGGCTGAAGCTCGTAAGTTGAAGCAAGGACGTGCTTGGGGAATATTCCTCTAAAATATGTAGAGGAAAGGCGCAGGGAAATATGTTATTTTATTAGAAATAGAAAGATAAATGTTTGATGTTCATTTTACTTGTTAAAGGGTATTCCCTCTTCGATTCGCGTTCAATTATTGAACCTTTGGTGAACCCCCAAACAAACCAATTAACACTTTCGACTCTTTTCACACTTTCGCAGGGAGAACAAATGCATTTTGCATCTTACCGAATACGTCAAATGTCAAGTTTAATGGGAAAACTTATTCAAATGTTCATTTATTTACCTGTGCAGCACATTCCTAATCGATCTGGCGATACTATATTCAAAGTGTTAATTGCTTCAGCCGACACAGTTTTATTTGACAAATGAGCTAAACAAAAAAAAGAAACAAATAAAGGGGGACAAAGCCCCCCGTGTCAACAAAGACTTTGCTTCCGCATTATAAATGTTTGCAGTTCCATGGCACAGCATGTGGCATTATGTGGCATCTCAGCTGCGCACTCAAAATGCAGACTATGAACCAAATACATATTTAATTAGCTCCTCGAAGCTGTGTGGCCGTTGGGCAGCCTTCAACTTGAAATTTCGAACGCTCTCGCTGCAGTTTGCCTTGCCAGGCGAATGGCGAATGTCGCTAATGAAACCGGAGTGGAGTGGGAACCGAGCCGCATTGTTGTAGTCGTATTGTGTAATGGTAATACCGATAAGCCCCCGCCGGCCCGCCCATCAGCGCCAGGCAGCCGAAATGTGTGTCATGTGCGTCAGAATCGAGGCGACAACAGGTTCTAGCGCTGCACTTCTCGGGCACAGCCTCAACCTTGGCCACAGAGACTCAAATCATTATCATTATCCCATTATCAAGATCGAGATCGAGTTCGAGTTCGAGATCTCAATCTGGCCGGCTGAAGGCCGCCCGAAGCCGCGACTGGTTTGCGCTCGACTTGTCTGCAGAGTCGTTGAACTTTACAGGAATTGAAAAGCAGAGATTTTAGTTGTTGTTGATCTCCATTTTTGACGTGTTTGCTGTTGACTCTGCTAAGTGATTTTTCCGTTTTCTTTCCATTCTGCAGCTGCCTATATCAAGCAGTGCCAGCGCGATGATCCCAAGCTGGTGGAGTGCTTCATGAGTGCCATCGAGCACCTGAAGCCCTATCTGGCCGATGGAATTCCCGAGATTCAGGTGAGTTACTTGTCTCTCCCTCATTTGCATTTGTTTTTCCTCCATTTTCACTTTCTTTTCTGCTGATTTTCCACTGCAAAGTCGAAGTTGCAGTTGCAGTTGCAGTTGCAGTTGCATAAGTTGCAAAGTCAAATGGATGTCAGTGGGCTAGAGATTGACTTGCGCAACACCTATTAACTTTTTGTGTGAAAAGTGCGGAAATCAGTTCGAACTCTTCGAACAGTGGTGCAAAATCCAGCAAATCTCTGACTAATCTCTGACTAATTTCTCCCCACCAGCTGCCCTCGGTGGAGCCGTTTAAGATGGACTCCCTGGCCCTGCAGCTGACAGAGGGCCCACAGGGCTACAAGATCACCCTCAAGAACATGGAGGCCTTTGGGGCCAGCAACTTCCAGGTCAAGTCGCTGAAGCTGTCTGAGAACAACGAGCCCTTCAAGGCGAAGATCGTGATGCCCAAGCTGAAGATCGAGGCCAAGTACACCAGCTCCGGTGTCCTGCTGATCCTGCCCGCCTCGGGCGGCGGCGATTTCCATGCCAACTTCGAGGGCGTCAGTGCGGATCTCACCGGCAAGACTTCGGTGCGTACGTCCAAGGGAGAGAACCATCTGCACATCGACTCCCTCAGCCTGGTGCTGGACGTGAAGGATGTGAAGATGAGCATCTCCGGAGCGTTCAACAACAATCGTATTCTGCGTAAGTTCTCTGTGGCCCTTTCTTGGCAAACGAGTGACTAACTCAATTGCTTATTGTACCCACAGTGGAGGCCACAAATCTCTTCCTGCGCGACAACAGTCAGATTGTCCTCGAGGCGATGCAAGCCCAGCTGCAGAAGAAACTGGCCAGCGAATTCGGAAAACTCGCCAACCAGCTCCTGAAGAACGTTCCTATCGAGCAGTTCTACGTGAACTAGTCGAAACCCCGAACCCACACATCCTAGTCTAAGCTCCTACTCTAAGCTTTATTTAATTGTTAACTTACCCGCTAAGCCGCTATGAGCCAAGTATTAAAGTGTATGTGGTGTGAACATCGTAGCCAGAACCTTCCTTACTTATTATCCAAGGAGTGGGGCAGCAAATGGAAAAGTTTATGCATGAAACACCTAAAGGAACCTTACAAATTCCAGCAGCTGAGACATTGAAGGGCATTGCATTGCATTGAAGAAGCGCGAGTGCCAACTCGTGCTTATAGCCCAGAACATTATTGGATTTGCCGAGTAAAAAACGTAAAGGAAGACATGACCACAAGCCCAGGTCGGTCGCTGTGTAGCCGAGATAATCACCTAAAAACCTCAGTTTCTCAGTTCTGAAATGATAATGTGCATTTTTTGAAAAGATTTCTTTGTACAATTTTGTACAGGACGAACATCTCTGATATCCGCAAATACGCAGTTCCGTACAGAGAATGTGAATCAGATTGGATCATTAATTTAGCCAGAATGAAGATGCTGCGGTACACCTGCAGGGCGTGTTAATGTGAGAAAAGATGTAGATGAAGATGACAGATGTAGAAAATATGTAAAATTAAATTTCGCTTAGGAATTTACGTTTGAATGCAAAAACGTTTTGGAAAAAGTCCCAATGTGGGAATTTATATCAAAAATGCGGTGCACTCTGATGAAAGCTGGTTGACATGACACTTAAGTGGCTCTGAACGCCGGAAAGTATTCTAGCCTATGCAATGGTTTCAAACATGACTAAAATTTCCCTTGTGACATAGCAGTGACCTTACGCATGGCTGCGCATTGCAACACTCTTGGCGCAAAATTCAAGTTGCGCATTTAGGTAGGATTTCAACTGTAGTTTCCATTACCTAGTGCTTTAATTATTTTATTCGAACTTCTTATAGGACCAATCGGCATCATTAAGGTCAACCTCATCGTCCACGACCTGCACATATAGCCTGAAGTCGTGACAACTTTCGGGCGCTGTCGGACCTTCGCTGTCAGGGTGAATCTCGGCTGGGTGTGCGGAGTTCTGCCCATGGCCAGCCTGACCAGCCTGCGGGACCTCCGGCGCATTAAGAAGAATCTGCACCTCCTCGTAGAGCCACGCAATGACGTCCACGACCATGTCGTTGTCCAACTTGTTGTGCATTGTCTCCCGCCACACCTCCAGCTCGGAGAGCTCCTCCTCATAGCCGCACTTCGCTAGCAGCTTCTTGCTCATTTGTCCCATGATGGCAGACTTGACCAGGGGCACTAGGGGCCCGCGCTCCACGGCCATGCAAGTGGGCCACATGGGTGCGGGTTTGGATTTCATGAATTTTGGTATCCGATGTCGGTGTCTGTGGCGCACCCGAATCCGGTGCCTGCGCGCTTCGCTGGTGCTCCAGGACAGGGCCAGAAAGACGAGCATGAGGACTCTGAAGAAGTGTTGCACTTTCTACAAAGTTGGAATACAAATTTGGATATATTTGGATTTGCTTATCCTCTTACCATGATCTCGTTTAAAGCAGCTTTGCCTGGCGTCTGAAATGATTTAGTTTTGAGGCATTCCAAATGATTTAATAGCGTGGCTTCACGCATTGGTTACGGTATAACAAGAAACTTGTCGAAACAATGCACCCGCAGATAATATGTTTGCCAGTTACAAGTTTTAGCTGCAGCCCAACGGCTATCTTTTGGGTGTTCCCTCCCATTGCACAGACACCAACGATGCGGACCCACTTTGTGTGTCTGTCTGCAGGCGCCAGGATGGGCGTGGATGCCACCCGATGACATTACAAATGCTGCAACGGCTGCATCTGCCTGTCTGCCTGTCTGCATGGCGGCAACTATGGGGCACAGAGATCTAAGTGAATTGTCGTGTTGACAATACTGAGAGCTGGGTAAAAGTTAATATGCATTCGGCACTCAAGTATTTAAACATTTGCCAGCTTGTAATTTGAGCTGCATGCAAGTGGAGAGCAGAGGCCTCTAACTAAGTGAATGGTGCGAGTATCAGTATGAGTATGAGTACGCGTAGAGAGATGCATTTGGACGGCGGCAGCAGCAACATCCTGAGACATGGCATGCTCGGCGTGGTATGCGTGCGCCAATGCTCAGATCTTGTTTGTATCTTTAAGATACTTTTGCTGTTCGGGCTGCAGACGCTGCTGCGCTCCACACTTTTATTTATTGTATAAACAATTTCGTGACTTTGTTGTTTATTTTCTTTCACATTTTGTTGCACCGCCACTGCTGCCGCCGCCGTCGTTGTATCTTCCCCGTTCGACATATATAATGGATGTTTGGGATTGGGAATGGGATTCGGAATGGGAACGAGGATCTTGCCAAGGGACAGGGACCAGCTATCGACTATCTCCTTTTGTTGTTGCTGCTTTTGTTTGAATGCATCTCGTGCTTTGCTTTGGTAAAATTGCCAAGCAAATATGCAGGAAACTTCACTTTTCTTGAGACTCTTTTTTCGCCTCTGCTCACTGCTTGCCTACTAATTTGTGTTTAACACTTGGCTGTATCGGTTTTTCAAGTCGTTTGGCTGTATGGTTGGTCTGTCTGTCCGTCGGTGATGTCCGTGATGTCCGTGATGGAACCAGCCTAAAATAACACAGCACGCATCTTCAGTTTGTGTAAATACTCGTCGCACAGAGCTGAATAAGCCGAACAAGTGAGCGACTGGATGACTGGAGGAGAAAAGTTGAAAGAAAGAAGAGCTCGCAAACGATGTTCGAGTGTTTTCTTTATAAACAGAAAACTTAATGATGTTGATTTAGTAGAACAGCCCAGCCGGGCGGCCATCCCAAAACCCAATCGCAGTTCCAGCCAGAGAGCCAGAGAGCCAGAGAGCCAACCAACCGGGCAGACAACGGCCACCCCTGCACCGCGCCGTCCATGATGCTCCTCCTTGTGCTCCTCGTAAATTCATAATATGTATGGCATGGCATGCCTGGGCATCGCACAATACGCGTATGTTTGAATGTTTGTATTCTGTTAGTCTGCGCTCTCAACACTTTACAAATTTCTGCCCGTCCAAAGTAAACTCCAAGCGGTTCTGTGCTCTGTGCTCCCCTCCGTAGGCACAATCCCGCTCGTCAGTCAACATGATTTGCAAGTTATACAAATTCATTCAGCGACGAAGAGGACGACGCCGAAGACGACGACGACCAGCGTCAAAGCCCACGACTTGGTTCGGAGTTCTGCTTGGCCCGCATGTCTGCTTCATTAACACGTCTTTAGTGCCGGGCTACGCTTCGTATGGCCTCTTGGTACCCTGTACAAGCACGCAGGAGTTTCTAAGGCAATGACACTTGAACAGACAAGAGAGTTAGTTCCAAGTCCCACAACACTTTAATTTCCATTCAACTGTTTGCAGCTGTTTTATAGGGTATACCCCTTGTCGATTACCCATCCTCTGTGGACCGCAACGGCTTTACAATGCTTTGTGAATTTTACAGATCTCAGGTGTAAATTGCTCTTCCCTTCCTCTCTCTCTCTCTCTCTCTCCGCTCTTCGCTCTTCTCCTCTTTCGCATCTGCGTATTTACCCGCACCCCTGCCCCTCTGGCTCTGTGTGCATGCTCGTGCGTGTATGCGTGTGTGCGAGCGCTTTGTTTGCTTGTGTGCATTGCGTCTGTCAACAGGTCGGGGATCGGGGCTGCTAAAACCGAGTCCGCAATTAGTTGGACCGCACTAAAATATGATTAGTGCCCATCTCCCAGTCTTCCCATCCCCCCACCACCCACGGTCCCCTCTGTGACTCTAATGCCAACAAAGACTTCAAATTGATGGATGGAGGGGGGGCTGCCACTCGGAAACATTCTTTGGAGCTATGTGAAAAGACAAACTGCGTTAATTATACTCCTTTTGCTGACAGGCAATAAAAGATATCGGAAAAAATAGGGCGCTGGCTGTGAAAAATGACTGAAACGCGTGAGATTATGCAGCGCCCATCCCACTCCTAAATCCGCATCAGCATCAGCATTGGGATCTGGATCTGGATCTGCAGCTGTAGCGGCAATCCATTGTAATGCAAAAATTCCTTCTTCCCCTTCTTTTTGTTTAGGAGGAAAAAACCTGTCCAATGAATGAACTCATTGAGCGAGCCCGAAGACTGGGAAAACTTCTCAGCTCAGCTCAGCTCAGCTCGGGCATTGTCCTGCGTCCTTCACCCTGGCAGCCTGGAAATAATTTGGACCCCACTGCCACACCGCTGGGGGAGCAACGTAGAAAATATTCCCGCACTTGCAGTCGGCTTGCAGTATCTGTGGGCCAGGAAGTGGCCACCTTTTAGTCGACTGCCCCAGGAGCACTCGCAGTATGCTGGCATTGCAACTGACATTAGTCGTGCAATAAGCAGACAGGCCCCAGTGACACATGTTTCCATGTGCCATCCCAAGAGCCATGGCCCAGGTCCGTGACTGCTTTTGCTGAAGCTGATGCTCAAGGCACGGCTTCCTCTCCATATCCACCTCTGGCTGCTTCTTGCTGGCAAAGTTTTGCAGCTTGGCATGCCAGACACGTTGACAAAAGACGACAACGTTGCCAGGAACGACATAGACGAATTTATGCTAATCAGCTTGGATGCCTGCCCCAGACTCTGCCAGCTCCTGTCTGTCTCACTGTCTCTGCTGGCAGCGAGGGTTGTTCGGGTGTTTCATGCAACATTTGGGGCATACCAAATTAATTTGATTGCCAAAACGTAATGGGATTACCCAGAAATGAGTTTACTTATGCCAAAAATGGGTTCTGTTCGCCTTCTCTCGCCTGTCGGACTATTAAAATGTAGTCCACCCACCGGAAAAGTTGCAGCAACTTCTTTATGCCACATTTATTTAACCTACACTTGGAATCCTACCTATCTTTTCTTTAAAAGGCCAACCACCATTCCTCTCTGATATCTTTTCTTTCCTATTTCCCATTTCTTTGCTCATTTCCTTCTGTTCTAACTCCCCTCGTATGAGAAGATGCCTCTCCAGGTTGATTGCTGCCTCTGCCTGTTGAGTGGCAAATTATAATGAGGCCAGGTGGATGAGTTTTGGGGGAACTTAGTAGGGCTGTGGCTGTGGCAGTGCCAGTTGAGAAACAGAGCCCATCAGGCAGCAGACAAATTTGCAGCTCTACTACAATAGTTGCCAGGCAGCCATCAAATCCACTCAGTGCACACTTCACGCACCAATTAAGTTCAATTTTCGATGGAATAACAAAAACGCGCTCGGCATCCAAAGACCCCGAAACTGCCGTTCCGGATATTCTCGGGGGGAGGCGCGCGTTCCGTCCTGCCATTCGAAATTGACATCATTTGCTGTTAAAAAATGGGTAGAGGGGTGCACCCAATATCCTCCTCGTACTCCGATCCGAATTGGAAGCGGTATTGGGATTGTGATTGGGATTGGGTCTGGCTCTGGGAATGCGTGTCTGCATCTGTTTTACGGTGAAGATCCAGCAGGCGGCATTATAAGCACATTAAATTCTAAAGGCGCAGCCGGAGCATGTCTGAAATGTTCAGTTCAGTTCGGTTCGGGGTCGCAAGTGGTTTTTATGCTTTGCGTATTATTATTGAATATCATTAGGGGTACGGGCCACCCTGTCACCCAAACAATGTTCAGTCAGGAACGTGCGGGCGGCACTGCTTCAGCTTCAGCTTCAGCTTCTCCTTCAGCTTCTGCCCTGGGGGTCGCTTTATGAACTCTCGACTCTCTCGTCTGACTTCGTGTCTTCAGAGTCGAACTTGCGATCAAAAGGGTCCAGGGTGCCGGGTCTAAAACTGCGTTTAGTGGTTTAATTTTTATTTTTATGTTGCAATTTTTATGGCCCTTTGCCCCCAGACCAGACTCGTCATTGTCCCCATATGGCAGTGGGCTGTGGCAGCATCCCCAGGAGAAGGAGAAGGGGCAGATGGAGGTATCTACATGGAGAAGTTGCCTTTTAAGTGCGGCCCTGGCACAATGTGTTTTTTATGGGCTTCTGGGGCTTCGTTTAATGTTTCATCTTTTGAGTGCCCCTCGTTTGTAGCAAGTCTTAAGCAGCAGCAGCATCTACACACCACAGCCCTTCCTCTCTCAGAGTACTTTCAGTACTCACTCTTTCTGCCTTTGTCATTAATGTGCATTTTTTCCATTTGGTCGTTCCATAATTGCTACATTCTGCGAGGCACTTCTACTTAGGGCTCATTAAACTTAAACCCAACTCAATGCGGCGGCGTCTCACAGGCTCACCGTCTCGCAGTCTCAAGGATATGTCTGATCGGGGGCTGAATAGATTTCATATTTCATATTTCATATTCATAAGGCATATTCATTCCTCTGCACTAATTAAACTTTTGCCGCAGTTTTCTGGGAAGAAGCCAACTGTTTAAATATTCCCCGAGCTTGCCAGTCGCCCTGCAACACACCATGAATGGCTAATTAGCAAACCAGACACCAGACTCTGGCCCAACCTCTCCCATCCATAGTCAGAGCGTTCCAGCATCGGGGAAATTGCCTAATCATGATTTTTGCATAATTTTTTAAAAGCTTCCCAGCCTGCTTTCCGAGCTCGTAGCAACCACAATCGAGGGGCTTTCAACCCTTATGTAAGGAGTGCTCGAACGAAAGTGGTTTGGCTTTCATCTAACCATTGTCATGGCGAATCCTTTGTCAGGCGAAGAGTCCTGCCTGCCAGTCCGCCTGTCTGTCTGTCTGCCTGTCTGTCCATCAAAGCCGTGTCGTGTGGCATTATTATTAATAATAGTCGTACCAACGCCAATCCCAAACCCAATTCCAATTCCAATCCCAGCTCTGATGCTGATAGCGTAACGTAACGTTGCCCATCCGCAGCCAAATCAGACAGGCTGCAGAATTTATGAAAATTAATTTATGACACGCCGCGGCACATTTTCTATTTTTTCATTTTCCCATTTTCCCATTTTCCGCTTACCGAGAGAACCCAAAACGTGCTACGATTCTTATCTGTGTTTCCTTCACCCCCAGGCAGAGTTTTGCAGCATTATTTTTAATCCATTAAACAAATGCCACGTTATGAGGCCTGTCCGCTGGCTCGTCCGTGTCCGTTATCAGGGATATGGCCAAAAGGGTCTGCGATTTCATTTGCAGCTCCACAGGGGCTTCCCCCGGTGCCTGTGCCTGTGCCTGTGCCCGTGCGGGGTAGCTGTAGCTGATGGCAACGCCTCCGCTCCGCGATCTCTTCACGCTGCGAAAGGCACAGACCAACTTAATGGCATTCTGCTGCAAATCATTAATATCAATCCCAATAGACTGACACTCTCATAGATATCCGAGAGCTCAGTATCGATCGAGCTGTACTCACATGTGGGATGCTCCAGATGCATTCAATTGTGACACTCGTCTAGGGTTTCCCTTTCACAGCACACTCGATGATAAGTATACACATCTTGACATCATCAGTGAACTGTGTACAGACTTGTAGGATGTGCTTCGTGTAGGGTTTCACATTCTCAGAACATCACAGACCTGTTCGGAATATTTTCGTTGAAATGTTAGCCATAGAAATTATGCGGGTTTCACTTGACTTGATTTTTGTTGATTTTATCATTCAGTTATCATTCATTGAAAAGTTGCCAGTTCTTATGGAAAGAGTTTTCTGAACATCTTCAAAGAGTTGAGAAGTGAAACCAATTTTCCCTTTCCTTTCCCGCAACATCACAAAGAAGGCCCCGTTGCCAGTGCCATTTTCATTCCCATCCAGCTCTAACCTTGTTATCAATGCATTTTGGTTGCCTTTAAAGCTCATAACCATTCACAGCTCAGTGACCAAAGAGAACTTCTAAAGAACGAACACAAAAGCCACTCTGTGGCACTTCCTTCCCTGCCCCTGCCCCTGCCCCTGCCCATTCATCCATCTCGTCTCTCGCCCTAAACGAGAAAAAATCGCAGCGAACAAAGCAATTTTCTGGAATTACAAGAGCGTCTCTAATTGTTAAGTAAGCATAATGTGTGCAACATATGGCCAAGACTTGGCTGGACTTTGACAGAGTTCCCCGCTCCAGTGCCTCCCTTCAGCTCTCCAGCTCTCCAGCTCTTGTGCCTGGGAAATTATGGCAGCGACAGCCTGCAGGGCACCGAAGCAAACACAGCCATGGGGATGAGAACGAGGCTGGGGGCAGGAATAAATTGGCAAAAAATATCTCTCTCTGTGTGTATATATATTAAGAGATATGTCAGCCATAAAAAGAGCTTACAAAAATATTTTATTGTGCTTGTGGCAAGTCAACAAACTGCACAGAACCCAACTATGTATATCTTTGGCTGGGGTTGGGAATGGTAGTGTCTGGGCTGTAAGCTGAAGCTGTGCCCACAATGGGGAGCATTCAGAGGAAGTTTGTTTGCAGTTGTCGCAAAACTGGGGCTCATTAAAGCTTAATGAAAGCATTGAACTGTGCAAACTTGGTCCAGACATCGCGAGATACTTACACATTGCAGCACAGCTTGCAGCTACGATGTATCCGGACACACAAAGTGTCAGACTGAGAAGAATACACTTTGGAAGTGATTCAATTCTGCCCCCAAAACAAAGTGGGAGTTTCCCTCTCTCGGACATTCGAATCTACTCTGTTTCGACTGTTTGTTTTACAAATTTTTTCAAAGTTTGCGTTTTTGTTTTCGTTTTAAGATGGATGTAAATAGGTCTTCCAGTTTCTCCCACTCATTGAGCTGAATCTCACTGGTAATCGTCTGCCTCCCAGCCACGAGAGGAGTGTCCGCAACGAATGGCCGCGCCTGCGCATCCTCAACGACGTTCAACTGTCCCCAAGGCCACACCAGCGGATCTTTTCCTCACTGAAAAGCAGCCGAGGCTATCTTGTGCCCAGGCTGTGCCAGGACACGGGCAATGCCTCCCAGTGGAGCCGTGGGGCCCTCGAAGTCAGCGACTGGAACTACTCAAGGACTTTGCGGGCCTTCTGGGAATGTCACAGAGATGGTCAACTACCCCAGAAGGCGCTTGACTCTGACTAAATTAAGTATTTCCATTGATTAGTTTTTGTTTAGTTAGTGTTTCTAGTTTATGTTTATGTTTTGGTTCCGTTTCGTTTTGTTTTGTTTGTGAAAATATCTTTTATTGAGCTTTTATTCGTGTGGAATGCCTCGAATACTTGGCTCTGATTACTCCCGATTTTTATTGGGGCCAGCGACACTCTGCCTATTTATTGCTGGCTATTGGCCTATCGCTGATTGTGCCTGATCGATAATGGGCTTTACGCATTATCAATCAGCAAACAATTACTCACAGCAATAACTAAATAGAAAGAGGAAATAGAGGCAGCTCCTCGTACAACTCAAGGCTCTCGTAGATGTAGTTCCTCTTGGCGGCTGCCTCGCTGGACGGTGGCACGGACGGAGCCCGCTCCCGGGGTGGGCAAATGTACTTATTCGATTCCGTTTGATAGAGATTCGAATTCGCTTGCTCCAAGTGGCGGTGATAGGCGACGTAGTCGTAGCTGTCATTCTTGGCGGTGGGATTTCTTTGAACAATAACGATCACATGTAGATGGGACTAAGTGAAATGGAAACATCTTACCCCTGGTAGCCGTATTCCTCTTGCTCACATCCGCGCGGCATCAGAAACATCGTGTTCGAGTCTTTCTTAGGACGCACCAGCCTCCGGCTGCCCTTTAGCCACTTTGGCTGCAGTCGCAGTGTCACGTAGACGATCAGCATGCCCAGGGCCACACCGATGAGAATGCCAGCTATGCCCAGACCAATGACCAGGCCGCTGTTTGCCGCGAACCAGGACGCCCCGGGGTATGCCAGACACTTGAGGGTCCTGTGCGCACGGCAGTTCAGTGGCGAGGTGACATTCTGCCCCGCCATCATCACGCAGAAAACGAACGGTGTGCCGCAGTCCAAGTGGCTGACCACCACCACCAGATCTCCCTCATGGCCCGCGCTCTCCTCGGCGCTCTCCTGCTCCACATAGCCGCTCCACGAGGCTGTGGCGAAGTACACCAACCGCCACTGCGACGACCCCAAATGGGAGAGTCTCACCTGCACCTCTGCGTTACTCAGATCCCTAAACTGAAGCGATGCATTGTAGGGCACAGGCGTCTCGTTGGTTCGTCCCTCGTGATCTGTGCAGCTGAGAATTTCGCATAATTCCTCCCAACAGTCAAGTGGTGCCGCAGGCGTAGTAGATGTGATCAACAAAGTTGATGTTTCGGGGGTCGTGGTTGTGGTTGCGTCTGTGGTTGTTCTGTAAACAGGGGCAAAGGCTTGTATCGCTTGGACTGTGGTCTCGACTGGCGTTGAGCCCATGTCTGGCTCGTCCTGCCACCCAATCATGGGCGTGGTGCCAGTCTGTTCCAACTCAATGCCGGTCGGAAGATTGCCACTGATTGTGTCCAGCGGATTGCCACTCAGGTCCAAGTTTCGCAACGATCGGGGGGGACTATTCCACACCACTTGCCCAAAGCCACAATCCACCAAAATGAGTCGCTCCAGGGCGGGCAGACGGGCGAAAGAGTCCCAGGAGAGCAGCCGCCCGAGGTTGGTGCCGCTCAGGTCGAGCGACTTCAGCAGCGTGTAGTTCTCGACCCCAAAGAAGTCTTGGACAGAGTAGGAGACGCTGTCGGAGTACCTCTGCTGGATCCTGGCACTGAGCAGGGTGCTGGCGAGTGGCGCCAAAAAGCCCTCCGCCATAAAGGACTCCTCCTCGTTAATCAGCGTAAAGTTCTGCAGCTTCTGCAGTCCCCGAAAGGCGGCAGCGGTCAGAGACTGGAGCTGGGTGCCCCTCAGCTGCAGTGTCACCAGGCCATGCTGCTGGCTCCGGTCGAAGGTGCCGTCTTCTATGCGTCTCAGGACACTGTCAACGATCTCCATGCTCTGCAGCCGGAAGCTGCCAACCAGGAAGTCCCCATCCAGGCTGCCGTTCGGAAACTTGTAGCCCGATACATAGAGCACGCTCTCGCTTGGACACTCGTTCTCGCTGTATAGCTGTTCCAGTTCGTTGATCACAGTCAAACCTTCCTCCTCGATGAACCTCCACCACGGACGTCCCGCCGCTGAGGGTAAGGCTGAGCCAGAGTCTGCACCTAAGACTTTATCAGCATCTTCATCGTAGGAGAAGTCCACGTTGCAGAGGATCAGCAGCAGCACAAACCCAAAGACGGCGGGCAGAACGATGTACTTGAGCCAGCGCAGCCGGCGCGGCTGGTAGAGCCGCTCCGCCCTCCGCGTCTTCTCCTCACTGACCAGATCGAAGGACTTGGACTTGAACATACGGCCGTGTGCTCGCTCCTGTCCCGCTATAACCGAACTGACTCACCGCGCCTGCCACTTGCCTAATTTCATTTAGCAAATTAGTTCAGCCTATTATCAGCTAATGATTTACCCACCCACGCGATAAGATTACGCCTAATGCACACGAATCCAATGCAAATCATTGATATTGTCTGCATATTTACTGCGAGTCGAGTGTGAAATCTGCAAGCAAGAAACAGAACTCGCTGCATCGGATGGTAGTTGGTCTCGTCTAAGACTAAGTCTCTGAAACTTATTTGAGTGGAAGTGGGAATGGGAATGGGAAGGGGTTCCCTTCCTTGGCTGCATCATTTTGTACTCAACATTTAACTTGTCGTTAGGGTAAATTTATAAGCAGCAGCAGCGGCGGCAACATCAACTTTAGCGGCTGCCGGGCGGGTGTCAGGCAGTCGTCTCCGGCCCCGTCCCCCTTCCTTACCCACAGCTCACCCCTCTCTCAACCACTCACCCATCACCCGATTCGCTGTTCCGGCATCGACATCGGCTCGGCCCGTGGTTCGGGATGCCCGGTCGCTGGTCCCTCGTCCCGGCCACGCTTTATTATCTTCTCCCCCTTTTCGTTTGCCGCCGTCTGCGTCGACGTCGACTGCATTTCATTGAGCGTAATTCCGTTGCTAATGATTTTTGGCACACGTAGCGCTACTTTCGAAATTAATGCGCTATAAAGCAGCTATAACGATGGCATGCCGGCACGGCAGGGCAGGGCAGGGCAGGGCGCAGGCGACTCCAGAAGGCAGATCCGATCCGAGAGCAAGACACTGAGAAATGGGCGCTGGGCGGATAGGAAATTGGCCTGCCAGCCGAGGGCTGTGCAAAATTTAATGAAACTTTTGTTCCAATTGTTTTTTCACAGCTTGGCGATGTACAAGAGAGTCATGGAGAGCGACAGAGACAGCGAGAGAGGCCCGTCCATCGACCAGGAAGTGCGCCACGTTTTCCTGCTCTGATAACAGAACCCACATGCGTTTGGTTTTTGGTTTTGGTTGGCTCCGGGGTATGGGGTTTGCGTTGTGCGTTCTGCGTTCTGCGTTTACTTTTGCGGTTTCGGCTTTTCTCTCAGCATAAATTTCCATATTAATTTGGCTGATTATGGCCTCGTCATCACCAGCGCAACGCCACCACAGCTCTGCTCTGCCGCATTTTTATCCAGATCCAAATGCAGACCAGAGAACGGAGACCAGGCCGCTGCCAGATGATGTTTCTGTTTCAGAATAATCTAAATCGGCATTATTTATGCATTCAGCTCTTCTCGCATTCAGCACGACCACTTAGGTACTCGCAGTCGTCCCCCATCAACCATCCCAGGCGCCCCATGCCACAGTTCCACTTCAATGGACCCACAACTCCACGCATTTGTATATATTTACTATGTATATAATATGCATGGATGTTACGTATGCATTCGAATGGAACCCAGATCCCCGGCAACAACAAATAAATATTAATTTTGATAAATGCTGATGCGGGTCAATGGGAGTCCAATTTATGCAAACATTTTCGCTACTCGCATTTCGATAAAACGTTGCCAACGATTTCAAGAATATCCCCCAGATATCCTGCCATCTGTTATACACAATAAACGCATTTGTTATAAAGTTTTTAGACGATACCAATGAGAGTTTTCCGCCCATTACTAATTTCATTGCCCATGAGACCGCAACATGTTCCTGTAATACAGAGCACAAACCGTCGTTAATTATCAACTTTAATGCCGTGATGGTAAATCAACTAAAATAAAACACAAACTGCAATCAGTTCGGTGCGTTGGAACAATTCAATTCTGCGCAGAGACAACAAAAAAGCCACAAACTTATCACAACTCATTTATCGGGCGCAGTTAATGGATGTTTTATACATATATTTATACATTTTTTTTATGGCCCACAACAAAATAAATGTAAAAGAAAAAAACAAAACAAAAAAAGAGAAGAGAAGAGAAGAGAAATGACATGTCATTAACTTATACTATGGGGTGGGGATGGGGGCGTGTCTGATCACATTATCGCTGGGAACAGCTTGGAGACTTGAAAGTGTGTTTTTGTGTTTCTACTGCGGTTGGCTCCTCACATCTCCAGGAAGTGTATGTCCATGGCATGGTGGTCAACATCGACGGTGGGATGCAGCTGCAGGAACTTGACGTAGGCCAGGAACGTGGTCCAGCACATGCTGAAGAACGAGGTGAACACGACCTGGTTGCGGGCCGGGACAAAGGCAAAGTTCACCGTCTGCACGCAGGGCCAATAAATAACGCCCACCTTATAGGCGTCCAGGAATTTATCGCTAACCTGGGGGGAAGAACAGAAACGAGTAGAAGTAGTTCACGGGGCCAGAGCAATGACATAATATGTGTGTGAAGTGGTCGGTGCTGGAAAATGCCAGCGCGGAAAATTGTAATTAAGTGTCGGGCGAGCATTTGCAGGAGACCTTTAAAATGTTATTTATTGCGGCTTCCGCTCTGTGAAAATGCTTTCTGGTTTTATTCCACGCCGAGACCAGGGCGCCCAGGGGCAGAGGCCCTAGACCAGGGCGTGGCGTTTTTGTTAATGCTGTTAATTAAAAGGCATTGACGGCACGGAAAATTTCCCCTTTTTGCCAACATTTTCCTCTCTGCCACCGCAGGCCCGTAATTGTGTGTAAATTTGTAAATGATATCCACGGGACACAGCGGAACAGGGGCAAAGCGGGAGTGGAGTTAAAAGTCAGCATAGCGGCAGTTGTCGGGGTCTACTAATTAATTATAAAACATCCAACCTTTGTGTCTGTGTCTGCACAATTTTCCATTCAAACGCAATATTTCGCAGGGAAAATGATTTATTTTAAATTTAGGAAGGCAGGGAGGGAGTGGGCTAAATGTAACCTGATTTTTAGCATTTGAAATGATTGAATTGGCCCCCTGGCTATCGATTGGTTATCCACTCAGAAAGCATTTGAATTCGAGCTCCAATGGGTTTCAATTGTATTCCATTTAGCATTTTCTACAAATGATTTTTATTGTGATTATTACAAGTTCCTCTGGACAACTTTCAGTGCAAGATCAAGCTGGGACTGGGACCCGCAGACATCTTCATTGGCCTCACACATAACTCTTTCCAGACGGACCCAGACCAGAGCCAATCACCACAGGAAAGTAAACCCGGGCCGTAGATCTTTGGGGGCAACGCATGCAAAGCAAATGAGACAACGCAAGTTTGACATAAATATATGGTAAAACATTTACATTTATCAAGATAAATGGTTTCTAATGATATAGAAGTCAGACAGACAGACAGACAGAGGGGCAGGAGAGTGCGAGTATCTCAAAGTATGGCCGCAAAGCCAACAAATCAATGTTGACAACTCGGAACGGAGACAGAGACAAAGGCAGAGGCAGAGACAGGGCCAGACTCGAGATCGAGACACACGCTGGAGAATGAGAGAGCCCAGCGACAGACAGGTGATATTTATGCATGCTTACATTACAGCCGCAGATGCTGGGCCGCAGATACAGATACGGCGGCTGCGACTGACTCTGAAACTGAGACTGAGACTGCGACTGCGACTGTCTGTATCTGTCGTGAGAAAATGGATTTCCGAAATCAAAACCCACACACCGAATTGCGGTAAGTGAGTGGTGGAGAGCGGGAAACCCGAGACCCAATTTCAAAATAAATAATCTTGAGAACGAGACCACAGCACAGCCGAGACCGAGGCGATAACTAATTGGAAGCTGGACAAAGCCACAAAGTAATAGCAAAGAGCAAAAACAGACTCAAAGATAGATCGCTGAATGTAGTAGGAGGATGGATGGATGGATGGATGGATGGATGATCATTGTTTGGTTGGAGGCCTACCTCCTGCCTGGCCTGGGCATACGAGTTGCCCTCCATCAGCGTCATGAAGAAGAGGAACGAGCTGATGGCCATCGGATCGTAGGCGGTCTGCTCGGTGATCGCCTTGCACAGCGATGACTTAATGTCCGTCCGTGGCCACATAACGCCGGCCAGTCGTATCCACACATATATTGTGGGGCCCATAAAGAAGAAGCCGAATAAACTGAACCTGCAACGGGGCAAGAGAAGAGCCAATTAGCGGCGGCTTTGGAGCAATCCATAAGACCACTGACCCACCTGAGGCACTTCATCCAGTCGTACGTTCGGAATGTCTTTTTCTCGATCATCGTCTGCTCGATAAGACAGCCGCAGGGCCAGAGGGTCCCATAGGATATCATGCCCCTGAGGATTTTATATTTGTTTGTAAAGTTGATTATGTGTCGAAACATTTTCACAGCTGCTCTTCTCTTCTCCTCCTTCTCGTACGCTGAAAGAGAAATTGTTTTCAGTTGAATGTGAAGCTTAGCGCTATATTTGGGTAAACTCTCTGCTTAGGCTTTACCCGATTTGACCGCTTGACCCACAAAATGCTCAACGAATCCACCACCTCCCGCTCTTTTCTGAGACTGTTGCTGGACTGAACTGACACTTGCCCCAATCTGTTCCGCACATTCTCAATCCAATTGCAGTGAAGTTACCCTCGACAAAAATTAACCCATTGACGAAGGGCTTCCCATGTGGCCCACTTGAATGGGACTCTCAGTCCCACTTTCGGCCTCAGTCCCAAGTCCAAACCTCAAGCCAATTGCAAATAAATGCCTGGCACTTGCACATCTGACACTTTTTGGCCTCTCATTAAGCATCTGAAGTGGGGGATGATGGCTGGATGACTGAGCGGATGCCCTGATGGATGTAGTTGGAGGAGTGTCTGGCTGTGGCTGTGGCTGTGGCTGTGCCATCAGGCAACACATGTCAAGTATTATTTGGTGCGAAGGAAGCGGGCGAAAGACAAACATAAATTTAATTGCCAAGAATGTTGCTAGCCAAACAAATGTCGAAATAATGTCGGGGCCGGGCGAAAGATTTATCATATTCACTCGACTGTCATAAAAAGCAATTAGGCCTGGCAAACGGCAGCCAGTCCCAAAATGTAATAAAAAATATACAAAAAAGAACAAAAGTTGTGTGGACGACGTGTGATTTGAAGTTGTTTTGCTGTTCTGTTCTGTTCTGGTTTGGGTTTTGTTTTTGTTTTTTTTCTCCGTGCGGCTGCCTTCGCTTAATGAGCGACGCCACCAAAAGGTTGGGTTCTTTGGGAAGGGAAGCGATTAAAGATCCACAACTACATCCTCATCCACATCCACACAGCAGTATGGCACGTCGGGCTCGGGTTCGGGGCTGCTGTAATTAGTATGCCCGCACATCCACAAGCAGGGCCAACCCGACCCGTAGCCAAAATAGAAACGGAAGCAAGCCGGGAGAGACCAGAGAGAGAGAGAGAGGCACCAGAGGCACCTCCTCCCTGCCTTTAGAAACTGCCCATTCAGGCAGCCCATCCGTCCGTCAGCCCAGGCAGTTTACTTTGAAGGGCACATGGGAAGCAACAAAAGGCCAGGCCAGTGCATGCCATGCCCGGTTCCTGGTGCTCGGGTTGTAGCTGTTTGGGTTGGTGTGAAAAAAGTCTACCTCATGGCAACTGCTCTTGCCGCTTGTTGTTGCCGCTGCCGTCTGTTGCATATTTTCACAAGTAATTAACATGTACATGCTGTTGTCCTTGTCCCAGGCCCAGGCCCACGTCCACATGCACATACCGCACGTACCGCTTTCCCTTCCACCATAGGATCACCATGAGGCGAGGTGTATCCGTATATGGCGGAAGGTGTGTCCGTCCGTCCGATGACGATGCCTCTTTCATCCAGCAACTGTCCAAACAGGCTGCTGCTGTCGTTGTTTATCGGCGATGCCATAACAAAATGTTGCCTCAACATTAATTTGCATTATTTTTACATTTCAATTTTAAATGAGTCCGGACTTCGGGAGCTCCTGCACCTCCACACACACACACACCACCGAAACCACTCGAAACTTGCCTGCAGGTGGCATTGGGTGTGTCCTACGAGGGTTTAGATTTTGCTGATTAGCCATTAGAAATTTTGCAGGGGTCAATGACATGAAGCTCAATGTAATTTTTGAGTGGTTTACTCTTATGAAAATGTTAACAGAATTTGCAACATAAAGCAGCATCCATCGAAACATTTATTGATCTTTTGTAAAAACTTCTCGATGCATGAGAACAATATTATTATATACAGAAAGAAGCAATTTTGTGGCATCAAACCACAACACCACCAACAACAATTCGGCCATTCCCAAATAAAAATCTGTACAAAAGAGTTTTCATAAGCAAATATTTTACATAGTTTTAGAGCGGAAAAGTTATTCGGCCGCTGCTCCACAATCCCCCTGGTGCCGCTTCTGATGCTGATGGAAATGGTGGCCCCATTTTGCCCATTTAGTGTATAGTTGATGATAAATTTTGCAATGTGGGCCCCGAGCAAATGTGCAATAAAATGCTCCCCATGCTCCACAGTGCCACACTGCCACACGGCCAAACAGCCGCACAGCCACAAACATTGCAACATAAATTAAAACGCAAAATGTTTATTTGCGCTGCGGCCTGACTGTGTGATGGAGATGGGGATGCGGATGGGGTTAAGGGACCGGACCGGACCGGAGCGGAGCGGAGTGGAATAGAGCAGAGCAGAGCCGGCAGTTTCCTGCGCAACATTTGCATTTTGACGCCGTTTTACGCATGATGTGAAGAGCCCGGTCCGCCTCGGCTTATCAGGCAAACGGGATCAAAGAGTCCAAGACGAAGTCAGAGGAGGAGTCGGAGTCGGAGGCAGTGGCAGAGCCCGCAGCATCTTGCAACATTTTGTTTTAATTTCGCACTTTTGAAAAGTGGCAGCCGCCACTTGAACGGGCTTTTGATGTTGCCCAGGCTCCCTCNGCAGCGATTGAGAAAGAGACAGCGACAGTCAGTGCCAGCTGTTGTCTGATCTCACCTAGGGAAGGGCAACGGAACCATCCATCCAATCCACCACAACAGGCCCCACCGACGCTTTGAGAGTTCTCCGAAAATGGGAAATAAATAAAGCGCAGTCTACCCGAAATGCAGTCAGCACATGATGGATAGAATTAATTACAACATTGTATACGAGGGCGGACTAAAAAGTAATCGGCCCTACAAATATAATATAATATAATAATAACACTGATTGCTCCCAATAGTCTAGGGTGTAGGCCGTTTGCAGATGGAAATTGTTGGACATTCTGAAAAGACAATTTTTCTATGGTTCAATGGTTTCAAATTTGAAGCCTCACTTGGGTATGAAAAACCAATGGGTATTAAAGTGAATTAATTAAAAATGCAATTAGAGCTCAAAGAGGATTATGTTGATAAATAAAAAGAGATAACAAATATTAAGTATTCTTTGGAAGGCGGACTATGTATCAGACCGCCCTCGAATGCATCCGAATTGTTTTATGAATATTCAGCATACAAATAAAGCGCATTTTAATAATTAAATACAACATTCAATTCCTACTCCAGCGCTCTGTGTTTTTAAGCATAAAAGAGTGTGCTTGTTAGAGATTAATTGGATTTAAATGCAATTGATTTGCATGCATGTAAAATATACAGACCATTTTCTGGTCCTAATGCTATTATATTTTTTTATATCCACTGCCATTAGGCACACTATCTATCTATCTATGGGCAAAGCAATCAAGTGCATATGGCTGATGGCTGCCGCTGATGTTGCTCATACGAGGGACGGTTTTTATTTCTTTAGTGTCTTCGGTGCACGCCTCCCGTTGCTGGCATTGTCAATTCATGGTCCGTCATAATTAATAAGCCTCACCCTCGTTGGCTGGCTGGCTGGTTGGCAGTAAAGTAAAGGAGAGGCAGGCAAAGGAAACCCCGAATGAACACGCAAGACGGCAATCAGTTGGCATTGTGTATGGAGCTCCTGGCTATGACTCTGGCTCTGGCTTTGGCTTTGGGTGCGACCTTATCAGCCAACAGCTGCTGTTGTTCCAATTGCTGTTTCTCCCTTGTCTGGGCTTGGGTCTGCCATTGGCTTTGGCTTTGGCTTTGGCGCTGTTTACTTAAGCGCTCCTGGGCCAATTACAGCTTCCTGTTGTGCAAATTTCTTTTTCTCCCTTTTTGTATTCCCTGTTTTTTTGTCCCCCTGGAGGCATGGCATATCTCCCACAAACTCGACTACAGGCGACCCACCCTTTCCCTGCCACGAAATAAAAATATCTCACAAGCGCTCAATTTAAAGTGTCGAAATGTCTGACAGCTGAAATAATAGAATGGAAATGGGTGCCTCTCCAGCTAGTACATCGTCCCCGGGGCACAACGGCAACTACATTTTGTTTTTGAAAAATAAATATCGCCGGCGAACAATTTTAGAAATCATTTTCGCATTAAAAATGCTGGGACCAAATAAAAATAAGGAAAACAATACAAAAATATCTGGCAGCACACATGCTGCTGGACAGCGAGGAAAATCAATTGAAATTGCAGGCAATTTACTTGATTTTTTGTTGTTCATTTTCCATTTGCCATTTTTTAATATTTTACCAGGGTATGAGGATGAGGGTAAGGGTGATGAGGTCAGGACCTGACAGAGCGTGCCCAAGAACAAGGGAATCCAATTTCGTTAGAATTTGATTGTCAACCAAAATAACGAGGAAGCACATAAAAGAGACAGGACCCAGAACCATAGCTAGTCCCAGAAAGAAGACAGACAGTGTCAGGGACAGGGACAGGGACAGGAAGAAACTCGGGCAGAAAGTCAGGGCAGACAGATAGACGGACAGGGAGGTCGACAGATTGCCAGGGACACCACACCACACCATTCATTCTATCCATTGAAATTAGAAACAAAGAAATCGCCGGGAATCGCTAGAAATCGGTCGAGTCGAGTTCCCGGGGCATATCGTAAATACTTGTGTACCCCACGACAGGCCATGCCACGCACAAGTGTCAAATGCAGCTGACGCGGCGGCGGTCCGCAGATATTAGTCTGACACTTTAGTTAGTTAGTTTCTACCTCAACCCCTCGTCCAGCCCGCTCACTCTTGCTATATTGCATCTGTCCCTCGACCCCTCAGCGGCTGCGACAGGTTGCTCTGACAGAAACGGCAAATTGACATTTGGTGTCCGCTCTTGTACCCAAGAGAGAGCGTGTCAGCGAGATGCGAAAGTGTACAGTGAGAGTGAGAGAAGTAGAGTGAAGAACGGTGTCATCAGGCAATGGGTTGAGAATCTATTAAGTAGATGGAGAATACTTCTAATTTTAGCACTCTGAATCTGACTGTAGTGTTGGAGTGTGTACGATTAAGTTCTCCTTGTGCGCCAATCCCCTGTCAAGGGTTCAACTCAGCTCTTCTTTGAAGAGTCTCCAATGCGCAATG